TTCTTAAACTCGTCCATATCTATGCGATGAGTTTTTTAAGCTGGTTATATATACTTAAAATTGTAAAAAAAAAAAAACTTTCATAAATCATTTGATTTGATATTTTCGGAGAGCTTCATTAATTTAAAAGTGTAAAATAAATAAATAAAAAAAGTACAACTGAAAAAAGTTACGGCCAATTGTATGGAGAATTGAACTAAATCCAATTTTGTAGGATGCATTAAATATTGATTAGATTTTATATGTAAAATAAAATAAAAAATAACTGGAATAGTTTTACGTGTTGCAATATTTTATATTTAAAAAAAATCTTATTTTACGTATTACATACTAACATTTTATGAACTACATTGATATTCCTAAATTAATATTACATACCCAATATTTTAGGAACTAATTAAATGCTAATTTGATTTGCATACCAAAAATATTAGATGCATTAATTAAATGCTTGATAAAAATAGCAAATCATTAATTAGAGTTGACTATTCTACATACTACATTTAGTAAATAGTATAGCTTTTAATATAAGTATAGATTAGCGTATTTTTATATGCTTGACTTTATCACACTTATATATTTTTCGGATTATTTATTTATTAAATGAATTTAAGTGCTTTGATATTTTTATGTTTTATTTTCAGTATTTTGGAGTATTTTATGGATTCGAGCCATTGGACGGAGTTCGCGTAATCAATCGAGACATCTTAATTTGGCCCTCTCGTGAACATTCAAAGTTGGGCCCAATTTGCATGGGCCAATTTGTTAATTAGAGTTTGAAGGCAAAACTCATGCCTCAGCAGGGGAATTAGATGGAGGACTTAATTGGGCTGGAGTAAAGAGTCCTAATTTGGTGGTGTTTATTTGAGCAATTAAGGAAACGATTTATTTGCGAGACATGCACCAGAAGGGAGGAATTTATTTTGGGAAATTTTTATCTATGCGGCAAGATGCTTAAATATTTTCGATTTTACCATAATGTGAAAGAATTTTCATATATACCTAAAAAGGCTAACTTATTTATTATATTGCATCAATATCCGTTACAGGTAATCTTCTCTCTGCAGCTGAACGTGCCGTGATTTCCGCCCTCACCACGATAAAAAAAAAAAAAAAAAAA